TCCCTCCTTGAGACCAAGATAACTCACTCGATAGAGCAGCAGACTCACAGTCAAAAGGTTCCAACTTAGAATCCTGCCAAGTCACCTGGTCTCATTCTTCTGAAGTCTGCTGTACATAAACAAATACTGCCTCGTGGAATAGATTTATTTAGACTGTTCACTGTATGGACCACCGAACTGTTTTGTGTTGCGTTCGGAAATAGCGTACTTCCTCCTGGTAGACGACATCGAAGCGAAGACCAGTCTTTGCCTTGTACTATGCTTCAACAAATGTACTCTGATCAAATTCTGTTCGTTCCCACTAAGGATCGCCTCCGCATGACCGTCTTAACCTAGCACAACATTCTTACTGCTGCCCACCCTTGTCAGGTGCTTTGGACAGGATATTTGTTTGCTATTCGTCATGGTGTGGTGGCGTGCTACTGTGGGCTCGAAGAGGCTTGGCCCACTCAGAGCTTTAATTAGCTTTAATCACCTTTTCTCAGTAGTTTCTTCTCCGGAAGTATATAAATGATTGTGTTGATACTGAAGCCCATCACTGTCGACATTGGAAGAGTTATATAACCTTTGCTAAAAGTAAGCACTACCTACGTTGAGATGAGGAGCATCTGTAGAACTGGGAAAGGGTGAGAAAGCTGATATCGGTTCCTTCTCATGCCAGATCTTTATTTTTGCGTTATGGTAAGGCTTTATAAATGTTTTGTTAATCTGCAAGCGAAGCTGTAGTCAGGCAGGATATCTTGGGCTATCGTATTCTGTACCTAGCCGAATCTCTGCGCACTTGCAGTCCTTTGAAGAAATCTGTTTTCTCCTTCCTCTTTCCTGGATCGTGTTCTTATGGTCAGTAGCCAGCACACTTAGATTTAATGATAGACGGCGTCACAGATCCGCTCATGTCTAAACAGGTGCGTAGACAAACTCAAATACAGCTTGAACCTGCGGTTACGATGCCAAAGAGAAAGGGAAAGGGAAAACTTTCACCACGGACTGTTAGCACATTCAAGCGATGAGCAGCCGAAGGTACACATAGCTTGGTTGCATTGAACTCTTGGTATTTTCTTCCTTTACCACTGTCAGGCAACCGAAGATTGAGCCTACTAAATTGTTAAGCAGTCGGGCTTGCGAGATAGGTAGAAAATTCGGCTTTATTTTCTGCTCCCCTCCCCAACCTTTGAAAAATAGGTTTTGCGAATCTCAATTAGAGCATATGCACTGCGTCATGTCGAATGGTCCTACTACTTCTTTGTCTTTGTCTGAACGTCAGTCTTTCAGGTTGAACCGCGATCGCATATAATCTAATGGTGCCGAGTCCTTGCGCCTTGCTTCTTAGAAGCATTTTCCGGTATCAGTTGAAGCAGGCGGACATTCTGATGACGAGCTACTCGTTTCATTCCGGCTGTTCGTTTGGTCAGCGTTCGTTATGGAGCAGCCGAACTTCTGTCGTGTACATTTTGCCTTGGTTGAGCAACGGCTTTGTTTGTCGTCGAATTCATTCGTTTCTGTCGTCACGTGTCGGATGGCGTTGCCTAGAAAGACCATTTTTGGAAGCACGGTTGTTTGCCACGCAGGCTTCGACCAAGAGATCGTCGTTTGACGACACAAGCAGCAAAGCAGAGGAGGAGGAAAAGAGACTGCAGATGGAGAAGGTGCGTCGCAACACGAGACTCGGCCTGACGATGATGTTCGCCTCGTTCGCTGGCTGTGTCGTTTATGCACTTGTGTCGTGGGGTGCTCCGCCGAAGGACGAGCAAGGCTTTACGGTAATCGGCTAAAGCAGTTTTTTTAGCTCTTTTGCATGTACGCTTTCGTTTTTTCTTTTTCAGATAACCGATGAATTTTCTGATAGTAAGTCTGCTTCTGTTTCATCTAAAAGTCGAATCGTTCATTAATTAATCACTGCTTCGATACCATTGTTTTTAGTGCCAAAGTGGAAACAGTACATCCTTCGCACGTGGAAGGAAGTGAAGTTTTATGAAAAGGTAAACACTCGATTTAGTTTTGTTCGAAATTTAAATTGCAAGTTTCATAATAAGTTGACATGTGAGAGAGGTCTGTTTTCATCTTACTGAAATGAGGCTACAAGTCAATACCAAGTACATGAGAGTATGAAATCACCTGTCGAAGCCGGTAACCCACCGATATTATTTATTGGCGCTATGGTTGACGAGGTGAATCATTTCAAATGCGTCGGAAGTTTGTTATGTGTTGATCCTGAAGTAAACCAGTGCATTGGACTAGCATTCACGAATTTTGGCAAGTTGTATGCCATATGGAGTGATCGAACTTTAAGAACGGATACGAAAGCATCCGTATTTGCGGTGCTCGAAATATTTATTGTCTTGAAGTGTCATGAAGTTCGTTTAATTAGCTTAAGGCACGCAGTCTGTGCAATATTTTTAAATATGATGGTATCACCGCGTCACGAAATAGCAGATACTGACCACCGGCGGTCTGCGAAAACTGTCTGAATTACTTAAGAACCTGCAGTTTGTTTGGTTTTATACGATGTCCCGGATAACGCAAATATTCAAAATCTTCCTCGCTTCAGAAATGTGTGCGGACTGCGCTTCGGATGGTGAAAACTCTTTTTTGAGGCAATCTTCCTTACGAAGATGAATATGATGTTTGCCATCGCGGCCAAGGTTGTCTAATATCAATCTGAAGGGCCGTGTGCAACGGTCAGCCATAACTTTTGGTTACTTTGCTGTTTAAGCACGGTTAGCCTCAGATGACGATGACAAAACAACGAACCGTTACTTGATTGTTGAATGCGTGATTCATGAATAAGTGCGTTTTCTTAGTTCACGGATCTGAATCGTACATCTAATGCAGTGGTGTTCAATCCTATTGCTGCTTACTACCTGTGGCAAATCTATCATTCATATGTGTTGAATTTTTTTCACAGCCCACTATTTTATTAGTTTATTAAATCACATTAAGCTAATTCTAAGCCAATCTTTCAGTGTAATTCAAAACTTCTTTTTAGTTTATGATCGTTTAAACAAAATTTTCTCAAGGTTACCTGGACAATATTTCGTACTCATAATTCCAATACATCTGGAACGTATTTTCGTGGTTATGCTGTAGCATTTACGAAGTACTAGCTCGTAAAACATGTTTCGCAATGTGCGCAAGGTAGCTCTAGCAAAATGGTCAGAGATGCGTCTGGCACTGCAGACGCTTAAATGGCATGTAGTGGTAGCTTGCTTAAACGGCTCCAAGGTGACTATGAGCTAAAGGCGGTGCAGTAACTCGTGAAATCTGGCCTTGCATGAATTATACGCTATCTTATGTGGTTTGGAGTAGTTCGAGTTAAAATTTATGAAAAAATAAAAGTTATGCATGAGATTATGACTCTCGCTAATGTGCATTGCTACCACTTCTACCAGTACTTACTAAGTAAATAGTTTAACCATGTCTGATTTATGCTCCTTTCGAATTTGCTGCATTAAATAGCGTCGGCATTGAGCGACATGGATGGGTTCTGTCTTACGTGTTGCATATGTGAACCTAGGCCCGGATTCAACGGCACGTCACTGATCTCTGGCGCCAGCGAATGCGTTCCTGAAAATAATTCAGCCTATCTTTTCATTGTTCTGTGAAATGTTTGGAGACATCATGTTGTACTTCGTGATAAAGAATCCCCAAGGAAACCGTTTCAACAGAGTATTACCATAAATTACTGAGTATATTTAGTCACTTACACTCAAAAAAACTTGACGCCGTGGGTGGCATGGGCAAAGGTAGAAATTGTTTACTTAAAATATTTACTCACTATAAATTCTTATGATGAAACCAGGTTTTGGTCAGAGTTTTCAGCTTTCATCAGATAATTAATGAAACTTAGCGATATCCTTTATTTCATAAGTAAAGTGAACATGCCAATGTTGTGTCAATATTTGTTTTGGTCAGCGAACTTGGTTTTCACCATCTGCCTTCTGGCACTCGTCATCTTCTACAGGTATCAACGAAACGACCCTTTTTCAGAAAAACTTCTGCATCATCCAATTATCATCATATTATGACATATTACGATGTTACATATTATCAATCATGTCATCATTGGTCGGTCAATCAATCATATTACGAGTGGACTGAACTTTATATTGACTTTGCTGTAAACTGAATCCATTGCGATGGCATAGAACATCATCACCAAGGTCTTACTCGATCGGAACCGTCCTGATTAAGACCATGGAAAATGATTTTACTATGGCTGTGGAATGATTTTACTTTACGCAAACGTTATTCACTCGCCACCTAGCATATGTTGTGCAAAGTAGGCAGCCCACGCTTTGTTTTTTGGTGCATTCCTTAGTTTACTGTTGAAGTCAGACCTGCTGAGTATTTGCATTCATTCACTTTGATAATTATTTATGTTTGCATACATTGTGACGGAGTAGAACGATGAAATGATAAAAGGAATAAGAGTGGAGCAAGTGTACCGACGCGCTAAGACCAGAATTACTCTAATGGTGAAAATGAGAATTATAAAGAATTGTGAAATTGAACGGAGTTTTACGGTCATAAGACCTGTTCGCTGTGTCGCACATGAATAATGAATACAACTGTGAATGATGTTGCTTGTATAAATGAACACATGAAGGAATTTGCCGCGTTTGTCACTGTTGGATCACTTTCATTATCAATTTCATCGGGAAGAGCCAATGGTCAAAGTAAACATTTTGTTTCTCATATAGAGCAATCATAGGGTTGAGTGGGTTACATCCGACTGACATAAATTTTGTATTTTGTAAAGGTTTGTGAAATGTTACGCTTACTCAAGTCTGGATTTTTCGGTAATATGTTTTTGCTGATATCTTGGTTCCAGAAGAAATGTGCATTTTACAAAATTATTCTATATCTTTTAGTTACGCTCTCTAATAGCATTTTTTTGCACTGCTAATTTTCATTCTGTCAGGTTGAAACACAAGACCTGCTTAATTTTCAGGAAAATTTGCTTATGAAATTTCGTTGCCCGTTCACGTCGGTCGATGCATATGTGCCCTTTTCAGTACTTCAAAGAACCTAGTCGGGAGCAGTTGTTGCCAGATCCACTCAAAGAACCGTATGTTCAGCCCCCTTACACGTTGGTGGTCGAACTGAGCGGCGTACTTGTTCATCCTGACTGGACGGTAAGTTGGTTAATATATTTGTTTTTCTTTAAAGTGCAAAACTTTTAATAACGTTTTAGCTTTTATGTCTTGACGTGGTTTAAGAAATTCTGGCTAGATTTTTTCATTTCGCATATTTTGCAGTATATATTTATTCTTTTTGAAGACCTAGAAATTTTTCCCTTGCATGAACACTTAATAATTTATTTTTTTTGATATTTATTGTGTTGAAACAGGTTTGTTGTTCGATCGACCAAA